CAGTCCACCAGAGCCTGCACGTCTTCCCTATAAGCATCTTCGTTGTTGTCCTGCATAAGACCCACCACTGCCGTGTCATCCACATATTTCACAATACGATTCATAGCAGATTTGGTCTAGCAGTCGTGGGTTATCAAGGTGAACAGTAGTGGACTTAAGACACAGCCCTGTGGGGAACCTGTAGTCAAGGAGATGGAGTTGGAAACTATTCTTCCAACTGGCACAAACTCGCACAAACAAAATACAATGTTGTATTCCTGTTGGACTGATTAAAGCTTCATATGATTAAATGTCCTCTGTGAAAGACATCTTGGAATTCCAAGTGAAGCTGGAATGTCCTTGGCTTGAAGTGGCACCCTTTACTCTGCAGTGGAACATATCCAAGAAGAGTTATAGGTTCCAAAATGTGTATTGTCAGTGTCTACCCAGATAAATTTAATATGTGTATAATGATATTTTAAATTCTTTTGTTTTCTAAATATTGCCAAAATATTGTTTCAAGATCAAATTGACCTTTCCTGACCAAGGAGCTTCTGTGTGCTTCAGATTCAACATCTTTCTTCTGATTTAAGTCTCAGGAAGTTGTAAAAATTTCAGCCAATTTGGTCTAGTGGTTAAAATACCAGGCTAGAAACTGGTAGACTGTGAGTTCTGGTCCCACCTTAGCCATGAAAACCAGCTGGGTGGGCTTGGGTCAGTCACATCTCTCTCAGCCCGACTTGCCTCACAGGGTTTGAATATGTGAGAATATGTGAGAACCAAGGTTATCTCCCCTGTAGATATGGAGATGATGACCCATAATATTGGGAAGAAGAGTGATTAGGTAGATACAAAACGGTATGTTTTTTAAAAGTGGTGCACTTGAAATGTGAACTAATTAAAATATTAGGGATACTTATCAAGCTTTTTTTTAAATACTAGGTTCTTCCTACTCCACCATTTTTTTTGACCTCTTTAACTTTCATTGATAATCCTCTCTGGCATTCTCATATCTCAGCTTGCTGAGTTGATCTTTCCTGCCAAAGTTTGTGTATGTATGTACATAGATGACATTTTCCAAGGTTACTACGCATGTTGAGTTATCTTCAGTTCTGCTAGTCTCTTTGAATCTATCTAAATAAATCGAATCCCTTTTGGCAGGACATCAAAATTAGGTTCTCTTCTAGGAAGTCTGAAGTTCAATCTATATCTGTCCAATTTCTAAGGCTATTTTGGCACTAGCCAAGGTTACAGGATGATGTGCTTTCAATAACTGAAGCATTTCTTTTTGTTCTGCCAAGCCATGCTCCCTCCAGCATATTCAGTGAAGAGAAGCTGTTCATTTTCTTTTATGTCTTCTCTTAATTTGGTGATCGGTTTGTGTTACATCCCAGCAATCCAACTATTAAAAGTGCAACTTGGCTATCGTATATAGGTTGGATTGTTTTAACTATGACACATGTCATTCAGGTGCAGCCAGATATTGCATACAGCTTTACCCAAATAGTCCAGTATTTATTTAGTTATCTTCATGTATATTCATTCAGCTCTCAGTAAATACCTTTATGCATGCATCATAATCAATATGATTTGATAGACTGAAAATGAAGAAGTCAGTTGACCATTGGTATCTGGACACACAATGGTGCTTAGAAATGTGTGAACCATTTTGAATCTTCAATATCTCTGCATAAGCATGGCCTGAAATGTTATGTGTTCTCCACACAAGTGCTAAATCTAGCTAAAGAGAACCCAATTAAACATATGAGCCAAAAACATTATACTTGTTCATTTATTGAGGAAAATTATCCAAAATTACCTATTAATGTAGGGCAAAATGTGTGATGCTCTGGGATTATCAGTTTATTTGAAGGGGGAATTTTGAGTGCTTCATTGGGATGATAATCAGGTATGAGTGTGGGACCTCCTGTCATATTTAAAAAATAGAATTCTGACTATTCATTATCAAAGTCTGTCCTTGACCATGTAGGCATGTAGAAGCATATGGAAGCTCGAAGAAAGAGGTTTCTAAAAATGCTCAACTGGTTACAAAATTATTGCTAAGTGTTTGGACTCCACCATTATGAGGCAGATTATGTACAAATGGAATCAATTCAACACCAATGTTATCTTCCCTAGTAGTGGTCAACCAAAAGAAATTATATCAAGAGCAAGATGTGTAAAGTTTCAAAGAAACCCAGGTTATTATCCAAGGAACCAAGAGACCTCTCTTGCATTGACAAATGTCAGTGTTCATAAGATTGCCATCAGGAAAACACTGAACAACAATGGTGTGCATGACAGAATGGCAAAGAAAAAGTCACTGCTCCCATAAAGAACATCTACAGTTTCTGAAAAACCACATGGAAAATCCAGAAGACTGTTAGAAGAAAGTTCACACACTTCAGCAAGATTTTTAGCTAGAGTACCCCAGAGGAAATGTGAAAAAGGGTGTTTCCTTGTTTTTCTACTATCAGGCCTCTGACTCACTCCAATTTAAAGGGGAGGCCAAGAATGAAGCAATTGCTCTCTGATTTCTATAAATGTACTCGTAGAGCCCTCGATAATAAAAAGCTGTGCCATTTTGTTCAACAACTATCCCAGTTTAAACATTATTCTCTTTTAATTTAATTTGCAGAGATTAAAAATTGCTGCTAATTTCTATTTCAGAAAACAAAGAAGCAGGTTTTGTTGTTGAAAAAGGATGCTGCAATTTCATTATTGTGTGGGGTTAATGATGGGTCATTTTTGAGTACACATGGAAACTTTCCTTCTCCTAATTTCAAGCTAATTTGAAATTTGCTGGAACCAATGAGAAACAGAGTGAGACAAGTAATAGAATTGATGGCCTATATTTAGAATTGGAAATTTAGAATTTATATAGCTAAACTAGAACCAGAAGTTTAAAAGGCAAGATTTGTGTGTTCTGAGAAGTACATTGGTTCTTCCTGAAAGGATACAGCTGAAGTGTTATTTCTTACCATGAAAACCACGGGGTGAATCTTACCCCTTCAAAGCATGCTGACAGTGCTTGATTCAGCATACAGTGAGAGGGTCTGTATCCAGGAGATCATCACATATGACATCACATATATATATAGCTATACATATGTAGCTTTTCTTCCTTTGGAAAGATAACACATGTTGAATGCCCTTGCTGATTACACATCACCAGTGTGGCTTAAGAGAGGGACATGATTCCTATTGCTTGTGGGTGAACTGCTCACTCAGTCTTCCAGTCCCATTGACTGAAACAGCTGGCTTTAATTTCCCCTTCAAATAAATTGATGATCCTAGAGATTCATGTACTTTTGACATACACAAATAACCAGTTTTTGACCTTTTGACCATTTTTTGGCAATTTCTTTAATTGGGTTCTCTCTAGTTATAGGATTTGTGTGGAGAACAAACCACGTTTGAGGTCATATGTGTGCAGAAATATTGAAAATTCAAAATTTCACTGTACGTGGACTTGCCCAGATAGTTGTCAGGAGTCAAATCTAAGTTGAAAGCACAAAACCCTAAAATAAAACTATATAACGTGACTGTTGCTAACTATTACGAGTGGTATTTGATTGAAAGGCATGTGTCTTTCAATCAGGTGACTGTTGCTGACTATTAGGGATGGTATTTGATTGAAAGGTCTGTGTCTTGGGAACGTTGCCTACCAATAAAGAAAAAATAGCATAACTTATTATAACACAGTCAGTTGAGCTCTGCTTAACCTTGAGTATATTTTTTATGATGAGCAGGAAACACAATGTAAGGTAAACAACTTTGGTCTCAGGGGAAAAGGTCAACTTGCAATGAGATAATTTTCCCAGCTCAGAGATGGCTGATAAAGAGAACTTTGGGCAGCACAACAACCTTGTCCTGAAAACAGTGCTGTGTTTAATAGTTAACACATTGTCAATGGGTTAGATGATTTGTTCAGCGGTATCAAATCTCTGATGTACTCCTGAGCTCAAGATGGAAAACTTGACAAGTGATGTATACTTTTAGGGAAACCATATTTCTTGCTACTCAAAGCAGTTTATTTAGCTGTTTAACTTATATCATGTCCAACTAACATGTGCTAGGTAGCTTTTTGTGTGTATAATGTAGAACTATAAACAAAACTCTTTATACTCTTGGTGCCAAAAACTATGAGCAGAATGGAATCTACCATGATTGAGAATTGGTATCTAATTTGGATAAAAGAGAATTCTATTGTAACCTGCTTCCTGTTGAGTATTTTATAGATTAAATAACAATCCTTAGAAAGTTATGAATGCTATATTTATCATTTTAATATTCTATCAATATTTGGGCCACATTTTATGGTGGGGGAACTTGAAGGCATAACTTTACCTTTAGAAAGGGTTGTATCAATATAAAGAATGCTTTTGTAAACTTCAAAGATATGCCTTTGAAAACTGCAGCATTACTTAGTTTGATTTTTAAATTTTTTTAGTGAGCACTATAAATGTCCACTTAGACTGAGGTATCTAATTTTTAAATCAAGAGATATAAAAAATATAAAAAATATGTAGTCTGGATGAATGTGTATTATATTAAATATATAACTTTTGGGATGTTGATCAGCGCTGCCTAGTTAAGGAGTTGGGTTAGGACTGGGGAGTTCCACATCAAATTCACTCTCAAGCCTGGAAACTCACTGGGAGACTTTGGTGGTCACCATCTCTTAGTCCAGGGGTCTTCAAACTTGACAGCTTTAAGACTTGTGGACTTCAACTCCCAGAATTCCTCCTCCAGTCATGTTAGCTGAGTAAGTCTGGGAGTTGAAGTCCACAAGTCTTAAACTTGCCAAGTTTGAAGACCCTTGTCTTAGTCCAATGTTCGCTGCAGAGTCATTGTTAAAATGTAGGAAATCTCCCCATGTAAGTTACCTTGAAATAGTAGAAAAATGTGGGATATTAATCCAACAATTTAAGAATAAAAATGAGAATAAGATAATCTTAATAAAATATTTATGTATTTATCCCTAATCATTTAAAATTTATATATTTTTTTCATACTAGGTGATGTTGGAGGAAATATCATCCATGTCTCCAAAGAGGCCCGGAAGAGGTTTCTTGGCCCTTTACACCCGTCCTTCAACCTGGTGAAAATCATCCGTGCCTGCTTATATAAAACCTTACCAGGCAATGCACATGAGGTGGCCAGCGGACATTTGGGCATTTCATTAACCCGGGTTTCGGATGGAGAAAATGTCATAGTATCGGAGTTCAACTCCAAAGAAGAGCTTGTCCAGGCAAGTTGTAACTCTGGGGCTTTTTTAGAAGCTTTCAACATGAAGCCCTAAATGCCTATCTCCCAGGAACCAGCAGAGCTGATATGACCTACTCTTGTTATAGAAGTTCTCCTTTCTTTCTTCATGCTCTGCCTGGATTTATCTTCTGCAAATACTGCAGGCTTCTCTAGTCAGTTTGTTTATTTCACATGGTGTTTTCCCATCTCTCTCTCCTAGGCCTGTGTCTGCAGCACTTTCATCCCAGTATACTGTGGCCTGATCCCTCCAACCCTTCAAGGAGTGGTAAGTCAGCACCAGGGTGTTTTAACTTTCAGCTGCTTGGTATTGTACGACAGGAGCCTGTTCCTGATTTTCATGCTTCATCAAGAGGGAAAGAAGCCTGAAGACTAACGAAGATGACATGATATGCTCTACGATTCTGGCAAAATAATCAGAACAGTGTACTGTTGTAATCAAAATATTCTCAAAAGAGCTGGTTCTTCTTTTCTTGATTGCTGAGATCAAGCACTAGAGATTTGATGTTTGGAAGTGGAAAAACAAAAAACTTAGGGGAGAAAACAGGACTTTTTTGTTTCAAAAGAAGGAAAAGAAGAAAAGAAGTAGTATTGGAATAGTGGTGAATACTTGTAGATTGGGTGTAGGATGAGGGTGAAGGTTCGTTCTGCGACTTGTGGGTTGGTTTCCAAACGTTTCGTTAACCAGGCTAGGTAACATCTTCAATGGGGTTTAGGGGAATAGTTTTATTTATAGTATCGTGTTTATGTTTCTGGACCATAAATGTTTATAAACATAACATATCTTTAGCAAAATTTAATTTAGGTTTAGTAGAATGAAGCCAAAATGTGTTGCTCTCAGTGTTTGCTTTCCTTTGTTGAATAAGTATTGGACAACAGTTTTGGAGGAAACACCTGTTGCCACAAAGGAAATGTCACAACATTGGATTGAAATTGAAGAACTGCCTGGACTAGGATGTCAATGACCAAATTTGAGATTTGGATGTCACAATGAGAGCCCTCACAGTCCATATGATGGTCTTTAGCATTGCCATGAGTTTGTTTTAAAATTTTATAAAAACGTTTTTGGGTGTGCCAAAGCAGAAAATAAAATATATTCTGCCAGGACTTAGAGAGAAACCTGGGCTTTTTTTGGGGGGGGGGGCAAGGGGGTGTTTCAAACTTTTTATTAGTTTATAAGAATATAAAATACAAAGGAAAATAAAAATAATGGGAACTAGGGGACAGGAAAAGGGAAAAAGAGAGTGTGGGATAAAAAAAGGGCAAAAGAAAAAAAGGTGTTGATTTCCAACTTTCTTTAGCACAGTAGAGATAATAACATTATAACCTCAACTTTTTACTTTTATACAAAAATATATAATAGCCATTTCTATAAGAACAAACCTATCTAATCAGCAAAACCAAAGTTTCATTTTTCCATAAGTACAAAATCTAGAAGCAGTTTCCAAATAAAAACAAAATTATTTGTATTCTTTTCTTAGAGTAAAGAAATCAATTTAATCATCTCTACTTTTTATCTTTGCTGTGGTAAATAATATATATATATTTCTATTTGTTCATATTAATCTTTAAAGATCATCATCATTTATATTAGCAAAACTCACTGTACTTTTTTAATTCTTTAAACTTAAAGGGAAAAAAACCTTTTTTAACATGCATTTTAAAATTTTCTTTAACAATATTTATAAAATCAACAAATTCTAATATGTCCTTTTTAAACTTCCTCATAACAGAAATAGTTTCAAATACTCTTTCAATATTTTACAAGCTTTAGGAATTACTTAAGTATTATAATAAAGGGGGAAAAAGCACATTGCCAAACCCATTTTACTTTAAAACTTTCAATTATACAGTATATATCAGACTGGTAAAAAATCATCCTTACTCTAACTCATTAAATTTAAGCCACTCCTTCCAGCTTATCTTCATAAAATAAAATATTTTTCTTCTTTGGAATATCTATCAAGTAATTATAGACTTCTCTTTTCCTCAAGGAATTCTCACCCTTGTTAGTATCCATGAAGAAAAAGTTCCAAACTTGTCTTCTTGAAAATTTCAGGTTTCTTGGAACATTTCTTTCAATGATGCTGGGAGATTTATATTTAAACCATCATCATCATAAAGATTGGTGTCAGATTTGTATTCCAAAGTTGCAATTCAGTCCTTTGCGTTGTCAGCTATTTCTGAAATTGCTTAGTAGTTTGATATTTTTTTACACATAATTACATCTCTGAAGTAGTTTTTTTAATAACATCCTTAGAAATAATTGATCTAATAATTGATCTGCAGAGTTTTATTTAAGAATTTTTCAAACACATCATATTTGCTCAAATCCATGTTCCATCTTGTTAATTCCTCATTATGGTCAAAGAGTAAATTTTTTGTGGTCATTTAAGAATTTCTGGCCAATCAGAGTTTATAAAAAACGGAAAGTTTTAACCACCACAGCAAAGGAAACCAAGCTACAAATTACTTAAAAATAGTAAAATAAAACAACAACTTTCTATCCTTATGTTTTCCATCAAAGTGCTTGCCTTCAGCAATCCCTCCTTTTTTTGTTTAACAATAAGCAAGCCTCTTTTAAGTAAATAAATAATCCTAAAAAGTGATTAAGAAATGAAAGGAACAACTTATTGTCTATTTGAAAAATAAATTCCAAAATGTTTGCTTTAACAATAAAGTGATTGTAGCCATGCCACCCACCCCCAAGCTCAATCACTCACCAGATTCTCTGAAGCCCAGCTCTGAAGCTTCTTGCAGACCGATGCTGTATGGAGGATCTTATGGGGTGATTCTAGGACTCTCCCTAACCCAGGAGAGTCATATAAACTAAAGGAATGTCACTTGAAAAAGCAACAGTTCAGAGAAAACCCCATCAGGGAGCCTTCCCTGGGTGTATCATCATTTGGCCATCTTTCATTGGAAGTCAGAAACCTGGGCTGTTTCTTTGACAGCAATGAGCCATTTCCATTTCCAGTCCTTCTGCTTGAGAAGATTCTTTGAGGGTGTTAGGATTCTCATGCTTTTTCACTGTTGGCTGCATAGCCAGTGTTCTAGTATCAACGCTGTTGTAAAGCACAGATACTAAGCAAGCCATGGCCATTCCAAGGATGATCAGCTTTATTATTCTCACATTAAAAATGGACAGCTGAAGGTTGAAAACATCTGACTGTCTAAGCCTACGCAGCTATACTAAGAACTTCATGGGAGAAAAGCTAGCTAGTTAAGGCAGAAGTGAAATAGTTCCGCCTCTTAGTTATTCTGTTCTAATTCATACAGGCATACAAACAAAGCAATCTTATATTTTATTTGACTAACTTATGAGCTTGCCTTTTTCCCAGGAGCTCAAGAAAATTTAGGTAGCAATATTTTATTTCCTCTCAGTAAAAGCCCAATGAAATAGTTTAGAGATTATGACTGTTCTGAAATCTCCAAGTTAGCTTCTATGGCAATAGGGAAGGGCGAATACTGCAGGGAACCTCGAGTTAATGCCGGAGGGAAGAGATGAAGGTAGACAGTACATCTTTGCATTGGAATCCTAGGAGAGGCACCATTTTAAAGATGTTTGAATTGCTTTGAAGCTGCAATTCACTGGGTCTTGACTAGAAAGTGGTATAGTCTAAACAGGAACCGAAGACGGATTCATACAGGAAGTCTTTATTTAATGACTGATGGCTTAATAATAGTTTGACGTTTGATGATTTGGAAAGGGCTCCACTGCTTCCCCTTATGATCATGTGATAGTGATCTGTCTGTTTGGCAATCTATTTGTAATTACAACTGCTTGCCAAGTGCCCTGTAATCATATGATCATGGTTTGGAATCCTCTCTGTTGGGCTCCACAGAAATTTAATGGGTAAGCTAGTAGGGAAGATTGCAAGGTGCTGCTGCTGCCGCCAAAAGTTTTCTTTGATTAAAGTGTAAATGTAGACATTTTGAGAGAGGACAAAGGAAACTGATTTCATTGTTAGTGGAAAAATATTGGTGCAAAAGGTTTGTGTAGTGGATGTTCCAACCTTAATTGTCCAGCTAGTAGCTAACATACAGTAGTGTACTGAGTTTCCTGGAACTGGCTTTGCAGAACGTTATAGGAACATACTAGTTGCTGGAGAACATGTTGTGCTTCTCCTTCCTCTTGCCAGTTGACTTCCACTCCACTTTGAACTTTCTTCTGTTTTTAATATTTGTATCACTTGATACACTTGAGATTCATTTTGGCTCTAGATAATTGTGAGTAGGAGTGACATACATGTGTTCAAAAATGACCGTGTTTTTTTTTCACTTTTAGAAGGATTCGAGGTTAGGGAGAGATTGTTTTGTTTTTAGTTGGGATCAGAGGTGTATTTATAGGCTGTTCTAGATTTGATGCAGGCAAACCTTTCCCCCTTGAGTCTCAGTAGCATTAGCCACTTAGCAACATAGTAAGCTGCTAACTCTTAAACTTCCTAACAGTGGAATAATGGAAAACCTCACCCATCTATCCACCCTGTACAATTCTCTGCCAGTAAAATTAATAATAATAAGGAAAAGCACAGGAGGCAGACTCTATATAAAAACTCTGCTTAGTCATATCTTTTTGTGGTTCCATTAAAAAAAAAATTCAACTTGAATTACTACAGAATGAAGGGCAGGAGGAGAAGCATAAAAAGGAGTCTCGGGATATGACAACAAAACATTATTTCCAAAACACATCCCTTCTCTGCTGCACCACCATGATTGGCAGATGATCTTCCCCTAAGCTGGTGATGTATTGAAGAGGGTAACCAGTGAATCCAGAAGACTCAACCAGTTGCTTTGCCTATCACACCCAGAACATTCAAAATCTGAACAGAACCATTTCTTTAGCAGTGGGTCAGAACAGGGACAGCAGAGGAAGGATACAGATTTGTATGTATAAGCTGCTGCCAACTCGAGAATGGATGGATAATATTTTAACTCAACAGTGGGGAAAAGTTCTTACTGAGTATCTTCTGGGCATGTTCTGTTCCTTCCAAAGCCTCTTAAGTACAGCATGTTATATTTGGGTCCTCTGGAGAAACACTCTCTTGATCACTGACTGGCAAACATCTTGATGTCGTTGGTTACTGGATTCCAGTGGTCATTTTGGATATTTGAAATTAAAGGGATCACAGCCATTTTGGCAACTTCAGCTCATTGGTGGCTCTTTACGTTTAAGCCAGTGGTAGTCAACCTGGTCCCTACTGCCCACTAGTGGGCATTCCAACTTTCATGGTGGGCGGTAGGGGTTTTGTCCCCTACTTTATAAATCACCATTACTGTGGAACCGGTGGGCGGTTAGAGAAAATTTTACTACTAACAGAGATATAAAAGTGGGCAGTAGGTATAAAAAGGTTGACTACCCCTGGTTTAAACCATAGTGTTAATTCTGAAACTTTAGAATTCCAAATGGGATCTCTATTATTCAATTAACGTTACCGCTTCCTGAGCTGCAAGAAGGTATCTAATGGAGAAGCTGACTTGCTTTTGAAGCTACCGGTAGAGCATCAATAAATAATCTCAACACAGAAAATAGGGTGGTTTTTCTTGCATTTGGATATTGGGATTATGATTACTACAGAGCTAGTTTTTCCATGTAAATTATTTCTCTCCAAGATGGGCATTATTTTGTTTTTCATGTGGTCATATTCCAGGCATCAGTTTTTCTATAAGAGATGAAGCCAGCAATTATCTGTGTTGCATGTGACTGTATTCTGTAACACATTAGTGCAACCCCTGATGGCATTAAACTCTTTTGTTAAAGGCCAACGGAATAGGAAACAGCCCAATAACCATCCACCCAAACAAGACAGAACTAAATGTTTGCAGAGCTGAAAGAATTATGCTGTCAGAACCTAGTGCGATTCATTCAGAGGCAATGATAAATCAAATGGTGTCTCATTATAGAAAAATGAATGACTTTGAGTCACAGATACGTATGCTGCTTCTCTGTCTGATCATCCATCGTTGAAAGAGGAAGAGGAACTTGGAAGGCTATGCTTCTGTTTAAACACATCATAGCTGAGAGATTAATCTTGCCCACTTTGGTTTTATCTACAATTAAGAATAACTACAGTGTGGCACAACATCAAACCATGGTTGCTTGGCTACTTTTCCCCCCAATTTCAGTCTCTACTGTCCCAATGGAGGAAAAGGCTGAAGCCAGTAGAAGGGTACACAGGAATCTGAAGCTGATGCACAATGTAAAAGTATCCTATCTCTGTATTTGTGGGAAGGAAAATACAAGGGTGTGCAGCATCTGCACAAGATAGAAAAAGCATATAGACTACTATATTTCTTTGTTTAACTTCATTTTTGTGGTCTGGAACCTATAGAAGAGATCAACATGAACTTTTTGTTATTTCCTGGAATATAAGTGAAAGGCCATGGATTGAAAAAAAAGAATTTATTTATTTATTGCTTTTGTTACATAAAGTTGCTAGACATACTCTTTATTTCAGAAAAAATTCTTTCACCACTTCTTCCTGGTGTTATTATTCATTTGAGAGTAAAGAAGCTACCCAATCCTACACCCTGTTAGATAAAACAGGATTAGCAAAGATCTCATCCACTAAAATTGCAGAAATATCTAGTGATTTATTGGGGAGTAAAAAGCCCTCATTCCCTTGATTTTTTGATTCCATAATTGTACATTCCCTATCATAATGATCCAAATGATGAATGATGTGTTGTGACATGATGATGCAAGATAGGCCTTTTGCGATGTACCTTGCAGTGCAAGAGCAGATGTTTGTGTCATGACATTGCAATTAATGTTTTATCGTTTGCTCAACCTTCCCTCCTCCCAGAGGCTATTTCTCTTGATGCTCTAGTAAGCCGAACTATATATATATATATAAAAAACCAAATAACTATACACACCATTGCATTTGTGACTATCTATGTACATGAGCCTCTGTGGCGCAGTGGTTAGAGTGAAGTATTGCAAGCTACTTCTGCAGCCAGCTGCCTACAATTTGGCAGTTCAAATCCCACCAGGCTCAAGGTTAACTCAGCCTTCCATCCTTCTGAGGTGAGTAAAATGAGGAGCCAGATTATTGGGGACAATAGGGTTATAAATCGCTTAGACAGGGCTGTAAAAGCACTATAAAGCGGTATATAAGTCTAAGTGCTATTGCTATTTTGAGATCTGAGAGAGGAAGAACAGACTTGGGACTATAAAAAAGACAGAGGAGGGTAGTGAAAAAAGCTAATGTCATATTTTCTTTTCTTCCTAGAGATACGTTGATGGAGGGATTTCTGACAACCTGCCTCAATATGAGTTGAAGAACACCATCACTGTATCCCCTTTCTCTGGGGAGAGTGATATTTGTCCACGGGATAGTTCCACAAACATTCATGAAATCAGATTCACCAATACCAGCATTCAGTTTAATCTCCGCAACTTGTACCGGCTTTCAAAAGCCCTGTTTCCTCCAGAGCCCCAGGTGAGCCCTCCCCACTATGATGTCACACTTTGATTTTTTAAAAAAAATTAAATAAACTGAGAGCCATTTTAAAATTATTTAAAATTGAAAAAAATGAGAGCAATTAAAAAATAAAGCCACACTATAATCAAAGAGAGAGATTCTGAACCAAGAGTGGGAAATTCAGGTTCTAAGCTTCACTTAGGCAGTGAAGCCAACTGGGTGACTTTAGGCCAGTCACTCTCAACCTAGACTGGAAAGTTAAAAACAACAACAAAGTACTATTTTCAAGTACTAAATTGCACTGGACCAGCAAAGAAAATTATGGTTAATAATCTTCAGTAAAGAGGCCTTCATCCTATATGTCAGATTGATTCAGTATTGCTATCATTGTTTTTGTTGATTTTCTATCTTTCATAGTCCGTAGTACTTTAGGACATTCCCAATTTAGGAAGTAGCTATAATCCACTGCCAATCCCTCTCATGCATTTCCAGCACAATTTTCCTGCATTTTTATAACCGCATAATCCTCTATTGGAGGTAAGACCCCCCCCGCCCCCCTGTCTTTAGTGGAACAAGGAACACCTGTACTTGCCAATGCACACAGGTCACAAACAGAATTAACATGTTGAGAAAGCAGACGCAACACATGACTTTGATACCAAAGAAAATATAGATTCTTCCTGTAATATGCTAGCAGAGAGATTGAAAAGAATTCCAGAGTTCAGCTTTTTCTTTAGAACAGGGGTGTTAAACTGGCATTCCACGTGCCAGATGTGTCACATGTAGGCCATGCCCACCCCAGCTCCATGAAGTGGGGAAACGTTGCAATACAACATGTGATGGCAACATGACCCATGCTTTAGAAAGTGCTAAAGACAACTTGTTGAGCTGGCTCATGCTGAAAAGTCAAGGGACGGTAAGCCTTCAGTAGTTTGGAAACACCGAAGCTGGAGGGCAGCTGTTTCCTTCCAATGGCAGAAAAATGGGAAAAAAGATTTTTTTTGCAGAATTGGCAGAAACTTTGAGTTTCTTTCTTCCCCATGGAGAAAGATGACTTTCACCAATTCTCCCTTTTCACGCAGAGTCCCATCTCAGGATCAGACGTGAGGTGTTTATTTGGCTTTCCTGTGGCTACGCCATTCTTGTCAAGACCATTCAGTTAATCATGCCTTTTACTTTTTCCCAACTTGTCAGAGAATATGGATTAAGACCACTTTGCAAAATGAAATACTCTTTCACTTAATGCTATTTAATAGCATTTCTGTCTTTGTATAAATTCCTTAATTACCAATACAACTGGAGATGTGTTAATTTTTCTGTGTTACTATCCGATCCAACCCAGTCTACAGTGATCGTTGGCCACGTCTGCTTGTCATGCCTAATGCAGAGGTCTCCATCGGAGATCCCTCTTTCTGCCAGGGGCTACATGAGCTGGAAGTACACTTGGAGATATGGATTCTTCCCTCTGCTGAAGTCTGTTGGCATAACGGTAGTGCGGTGTTGAGATGTCTTACAACTAATTGTAAGCGGCTACATGCTGCTTTATCTCTCTGCAGGTTCTCCAGGAAATGTGCAAGCAGGGATACAAGGACGCTCTTCACTTTTTGAAGAAGAATTGTAAGTTCTTAATAGTTTTGCATTCTCTAGCAAAAGTGAATCTCGTGCCAGGTGTTCTGTTCACTTACTTCTAATAGAGTATTAAAAAGGAGAGCCTGCCTTGCATTCCACTCATGACTGTAGTGTGTCAGGACTCTAACAAATCCACCCCCATTCAAATCATAAGTCTCTAGGCGCATCTCAGAGAAAAGAAAATGTATTTATTAGAAATGGACATGTTGGTGTTAGCTGGGTGCAGCTGACACTAAAATACATCATTCGTTTTCCCCTTGACCCTGATCTTCCCCACACCCCCTGGATGTGTATTCTCCAATGGGACATATCCATCCCCAAGAGTCGTCAATCATTCTCTCCAATAATTTTCTTGCACTCGGACAACTTTGGGCTGCCAGGGTGATTATCTAGGCACTTAAGGAATGCACTATTTTCTCCCACTCCCTTTTTCTGGCAGCTAAAAAGACCAAAGGAGTATTGTTTTAGTTGACATAGTGTATATCATCCTCTCTAGTCCCTTCTTGCTGTGTAGAAAATGTACAACTCTTGCAGTCCCTTTTAATGAGGACAACATTATTTGGATACCTGCATGGATTATATATGTTAGTGGTCAAATTTCAAAAATAAAAACTTCCCCCCTAAGCCAAAAGGAAGGAGTGAATTTCCAAACCTGATATTATTGATTATTGCTTAATTGAACTTAATTATTCTTTTTCTGTTCTATATTATTTAAAAGATTGACTCAATGTGCTCTTGCACAAATCGAGATTTATTTTTAAATGAAAACTTTCTTTTTGAATGGCAAACATCTGCAAATTTTATATTTGTTCATAAAGATACAGTAGAAAATGTTACTGTAGGTCAGTGAATTGTACACAAACTTCCTTGCAATGAATGGAAGTTGTGGAAAAGTATGGTGACCTTTTGCTGTATGGTTCATCCAAACTTATTTTTAAACCATTCTTAAAGAAATGGGGTAGTATGACCAAAATTAATTACACTGATAAAAACAGTAACAATACATTTTATATACAATTCAAATAATAGGCTGGCCAGAGGCCATAATATAATCCCCTGGATTTTGCTGATCTCAGAAACCCTAGCGACATGCCAATACTGAAGGACACTGTATTTTCCATATTTTTGCTATGGAGGAAGAATTTCAGACCCAACAAAGAAAACATTTTCTCTTGTTTAGCTACCACATAATGCACTCTCCCAGCAGAGATGCTATCTGCTTCCAGGTGCCTATGTAGTACTGAAGGAGCATCTTCTCTAATTGAAAGTCACGTTATTCTCTAGAATATGTAGAATATGCATATCAGACATTAATACAATCAAGCGAGTCCAGAAGTATTTCAGGAGAAGAGTACTACACTCCTCTGTTCTCAACAGAATACCCTATATTCGCAACCCCGCCAGGTTATAGGAGATTTTGGGCTTGGACAACCTTGAACTACGTCGCCTACAGTTAGACTTAAGCGCAGCACACAAAATTATCTGCTACAATGTCCTACCAGTCAGTGACTACTTCAGCTTCAACCACAACAATATAAAAGCACACAACAGATACAAACTCAATGTAAACCACTTCAAACTCAATTGCAGAAAGTACAACTTCAGCAACAGAGTGGTCAGTGCCTGGAATGCACTACCTGACTCTGTTGTTACATCCTCTAACACCCACTCCTTTAACCTCAAACTATCCACTATTGACCTCACCCCATTCCTAAGAGGTCTGTCAGGGGCATGCATAAGTGCACCATTGTGCCTACCGTCCCTGTATTCTTACCACCTATTTCCTGTATTCTTACTCATGTTTATACTTATATCTATTACCTTGGAAGCGACTGACAAATCAAATAAATAAATAAATAAAACTCTTAGGTTATCTAATTCTATAACTGCAGTATATTGTCTTTCTCTGTAGCATCACCTAGTGGTGCAAATTTCTCATGCAACCATTTGATTCACTGCATTATCTTTAATCAAGGTATCATGCTACCTTAATCCACAAGGAGAGTCATGCCATTGATCATTATATGCTGCGATTAATTAACGATAATGATATATTCTCAGTCTAATTGCCTGTATTAATTTCAAAGTTTTCTTGTGATGTCATGTCATATCATGTCATATTATGTTATATATAGATTTCTGTCCTCTTAGAGTAGAGCTTAAAAGTCACTAATTGAATGATACTCAGCTGAATGTCCAGGTCTGATTTTTATATAAAGACAAATAATAAGCAATTGAGTTTCATCTATTTTGCTTCCAAATGGGCAAAGACAATTATACATCTGAATATCTTCTCCATCTGTATTTTTTTTTTTACAGAAGGACCTATACATACTAGCAGTTCGATGCTTATAAAACACAGAATATTTATACAGAAATGCCAAGATTCATTTTAAAAGCTACTTTGGTTTGTGGCAGTTCAACCTATTTTTGTCTGGCTGCTTCTTGTCCTCTACTTATGTCACATAATAATCAACAAGATGGCTTTCTTGCAAAAGGTTGTTTCTATCTGCTACTGCCAGGTTCCCCAAGGTGAAATGGTGAAGAGAAGATAATCTAACAGTCTAATGATGTTTTCTGGTGAATTCACGGTTCTGCTACCTATCCTTTTTCTCTAGCTCTCCTCCAAAGACCTCCTCTCCCTCTGCTAGTCATTAGTGGTGCTGAGGAAACAGACTCTGAGAAAGAAAAGGATGAGGACGATCAGCTGCAAGAAAGTGCTGAACTGACAAAAGCTAAAGAATACCTCCTGGAACACTTGCCTCCAAAACTGAACCAAGGTAAGATCTTTCGTTGGAGGGGAAAGTTGCTGTATTGCTTTGTCCCCAATTTAACTGAGATGTTCACGTTCTAGGTCAGTTTTACCTGACTTGGCCCTCCTCCAAATCCATTGACTTCAACTCCCAGAATTACCAGCAAGCATGGCTAGCTATTGCTGAGAATCCTGACAGTTGAAATCCACACACCTGGAGGGCATGGAATGGCTGTAACGTGTATGCTTTTTAAAGAAACCGGGTAAGCGGATTTTTTTTAAAAAAAGTGTCCACATTTAGACATAGTCATTGCTCTTAGAGGAGGACAAAGGAGTTCATATAATTCCTGCCCCGATCTTGGTTCGAGATAATCACAGACCAAATTTAAAATCCTGGCTCTGTTGAGATGGACAGCTCATTGATTTTAACTACATCATTTGGTTATTGGAATACAAGTTTTCAGGATCACCAATTGGTGTTGTTAAATCAAAGAACTGTCAGTTTCATTAAGGGAGTACTGTTGAAGCTGTGAACTTGCAAGATGTTTGTGAACATAAGAGAACCAGTTTGGTATAGTGGTGAAGGTGCTGACCTAGAAACAAAGAGATTCTGAGTTTTAGATCCAGATGGATCTTGACAGACTAGAACACCGGGCCGTATCTAACAAAATGAAATTCAATGTAGAGAAAAGTAAAATCCTACACTTAAGCAAGAAAAACCAAATGTACACATATAAACTGGGTGAAACTAGGCTCAATAGCAGTAACTGTAAGAGAGATCTTGGAGTCAGTGGACAACCAACTAAATATGAGCCAGCAGCGTGTAGCAGCAGCCAAAAAAGCTAAGTTGCATTAACAGAGGGATACAATCAAGATCAAGGGAGGTACTAATACCACTCTATAAAGCCTTTGTAAGACTACACCTAGAGTACTGCATCCAGTTTTGATCACCATACTATAAAAAAGATGTTGAGACTCTAGAAAAAGTACAGAGAAGAGCAACCAGGATGATTAAGGGACTGGAGACTAAGGCATATGAAGAATGGTTACAGGAACTGGGCATGGCTAGTCTTATGAAGAGAAGGACTAGGGGAGACATGATAACAGTGTTCCAATATTTGAGGGCTGCTACAGAGAGGAAGGGGTCAAGCTATTTTCTAAAGCGCCTGTAGGCCAGACAAGGAATAATGGATGGAAACTGAACAAGGAGAGATTTAACCTGGAAATAAGAAATAACTTTCTGACAGTGAGAACTATCAACCAATGGAACAGCTTGCCCTCAGAAGTTGTGGGAGCGCCATCAGTTGAGACTTTCAAGAAGAGATTGGACTGCCACTTGTCAGAAATGGTGTAGGGTCTCCTGCTTGGGCAGGAGGTTGGACTAGATGACCTACAAGGTCCCTTCCAACTCTGATTATCTGTTATCTGTTAAATCTGTTAGGACTCCTTTAGCCATGAAAGCCAGCTGGGTGGCTTTGGGCCAGTCACTCTCTCAGCTCAAATCATTTCATAGGATTGTTGTGGGGAGAGAAGGAAGCAGTATTAAATATTTTTTCTACCGTATATTTTAAGAAGGCAAGATAAACATTTGATGATAATAATTATCCAGACTTGAATTCCACTGAACAACAGTTAGATTAAAGGAGATTCATTACTAGAAATAAAATATTTAAGGATATAAAATGGAAAAAAGTTAGAAAAATTATGAAAATGGAAGACCGAAAACAGTTGTAGAAATAGAAGAAATTCAGATAGCAATTCTGAATATAAACGAAAAAGTGGGTATGAAGTATAGAAATGATAATTTGGCTTGTTAATAACAACAGAACCAGTACAGGTCAGCACTAAAATAGACAATGAACTGGCCTCTCTTAACAGGAGTATAAGAGAAAATTATGGTCTATGCAGAACTTTTAGTAGAAAGACAAAGATTGCTAGCATTAAGAGTAGCATTAAGACCTGGTATCTATAATGAAGTATGTGAATGAGGCACTTACAAGGATTAAAATAACATTTATCAAACAGACCAATCAGCTCTCCTACAGTACAGCAGTGGTAGTTATAAAAGAACTATGTATTGTCATTAGAAAACCCAAATCAAAATCATATTCAATCCAGGGGTGGGTTTCTACCGGTTCTGTCCACCTCTGTAGAACCAGTAGCTCTGAAGAGCAGCAGGCTTAGAACCAACCGGTTCTATGTCTGCTGATGTTTTTGCCCACCCGGGCTCTTACCTGACCTTTATTTCCTGATTTTTCAACTTCAGCTGCCGTGGGAGGCACAGCTGCAGTTTAAAAAGCAGGAAAAAAGTGCTTTTTGAAGGCTGCTTCTCTACACGCAGCGTGCTGATGATGATTTACAGGCGTGCGCGGTGCAGCGTGCAGGGAAGCACATGGTAAATCACTGAACCTTGTAAATCACTGAACCGGTAATTAACCCTGTCGGAACCCACCCCTGAATGATCAGACTGGAGGCCCAGATAAAGAAACTAAGATCAGATGCAAGTAATTTAAACAAAAGACCAAACATTGGAGAATGTAAGGATCAAGAGAAGCCAAATGAGAAAGTATTGGCTTAGCACCAGAAAACTGAACACGATGAGGCACAAATCATCCAATTAAAGCAAAATCAGTTATTTCAATCATACCAGAGGCTACCAAAGTATAAATGACAGTAGAAATTCTGAAAATGGAAAACCAAACGAAAAGGAAATAATCCAGTTTTGGAAAGATCTATGGGAAATTCAAAAAATAAAAATGCTGGGTGGACCAAAGAATTTGAAGATGAATTTAGTAAAAATCAAATGGAAGAACTAGTGACAACAAAAATGATTAAAATTGAGTGAAAAGGATTAAAAATTGGACATGTCCTGGAAATGATCAACTAATTAAAGCTAAGCAACTTAATGAAGTATTGCATCATCAGTGCCTACTTAATGATAATAAAATATATCTGATTCACAAGGACCCAGCGAAAGGGACAATAACAGGAAACTACACCAATATACATCAATTCAGTTAAAGAAAAACTCTAGTTATTGATTCTTAGTTAACTTTTCCTTTGTTTAGAATCTGATGATGTAGTAATAGGAGTACCATTTACCAGTAAATCATGGATATTTGCAAATTTGGGGAGGGTTTATAACACACAAGGTAAGGCTTAGCATTGAGGAATAAAATCTTTTGCAACTGGATTGGAAGTGCAGCAATTAAATGCAATAAATGGTCGATATTTTTTTTAAAAAAAATCCGTTTCTGTCTCCAAAACTTGGCAGGGGATTTTGATTTAAAATACTTTCTCCATCTGCAGCACTTTTGGAAGCCTGTACTGAGAGGAAGGGATTATTCACTTGCATTGCCAATTTTCTACCAGTACGTTTGGTCTCTACTTTGATGCTACCATATACCCTTCCTCTAGAGTCTGCTCTCTCCTTTACAGTCAGGTATGTTCTGAATTTCCTTCTGAGACTGTGTGGTGAAAAAACTTTAGTAGGATTTCCATTGGATGTTAAATGCATTTACAGCAGTCACGTTAAAAATAATTAGTATTTAATTGCATTTCTTTCCAATAAAGTAGAGGTAGAATACATTTAGATGAAATTCCTGTCAGTGGCATCTTCTTTGGTATAGTTAGAATGAACCAGAATTCACATTTTAAAATTTTGCAGTGAGAGAGTTTTTATTCCTTCTGGGTTGTAAATTTTGAAATTGTACAGGTAATTCCTTAGAGAAAAGGCTTTCCTGCCAGTAAATTTAAATTTGGGTATAACTGTTCAATTTAAAGTGTAACTTTGTGAGGCAGTGCTTATCTCACTGCAAGGCAAAATCATATTTTTTATGCTGCAAAATGAGTGTTTATTTTGATTACCTGCCATCAAGTCGGTGTTGACTCTTAGTGACAACATAGACAATTTTTTTCTCTAGGACAGTTTGTCCCCAGCCCTGGCCAATTTTTATTTCTATAGCATGTCCCAGGAAAAAAAAAATGTTTGCATCATTTTGCATATCTGGGCGTCTGAATATTTTCTCTTTCAAGGCTTTCTCATTTAACAACAAAAACACAACTACAAAAGAAAAATTAACAACCAATTAAAGGAGCATCTAGCTCTTGTATCAAAACCTCTGTAAAAGGTTCTTGATTTGCCTTTTGACACATTAAGGTAACAAAGCAGACTATAGTCGTTATTTTTCATAAGATTTCTCTTCTTTGTTTAATGCTATATATCTTTTTGTATTGTTTTAGTATTGGAGAGAAGGGAGGGGGAACAAATAAAAAGGAAACAAGGAAAAGAACAGTAGCATAGATGGTATAGATAGGAAATGATTCAGCCTACTTTTAAACACCTCATTAAACCTTGGCCATGTGGAATAATACCGATCAATCTTTCTATTACAGCAGAGAGAACTAAGTCATAATCAGACAGCACACGTAGTGACAATCCAATATTTTAAATTTTGAGTCATGCTTTCTTGCCAACATTGAAGAATAGCTTGTTTTGCTGATCCCCACTTGAAAAATAATAATTTTTGATTTCATGATACATTCTAAGTTTTATATACATAATTAAAAATGCATTCACTTCTTTAATCTGTATTGAATTTTGTAACACCATGTTATCAAGGATCATAATATATAATATTTTTAAAACCTAACATGGAATATAGCACTCTTTATTCCACTGCTTTTGCAAATCTTAGTGATGCTCTAATTGATTATAAAACACTATAGCCTTTAGAATAATCCAAAATGTTTTATCTGATTAAATGCCATCAATTGTATTAATTGTTAGCAACCACATAGATAGATTCCTCAGAATGGTCTGTCTTCAGCTGGACCTTGTTGGTTTCTCAGTGTATATTCATTGACTTTGTAATCATATTTATCTACCTTGTTTCTGGTCGTCATCCTTTTTTTTTTTTCAACTTTTCCAAGCAACATGCACATCACAATATTGTTGGATTCTGGAAAGGCTTAGTGGCCTCTGTGACAGCTAAAGTTTCATCCAGATAGTCTCTAACCTGATGCACACAGAGACATGTGTTTGACTTTATTTTTGCTTCAGAACAGGGCATTAATACATGCCCCATTGCTGGAAATGGTACTCCAAATCCTTTGCTGTGGTTGGATTATTTCTTGTCCAAAAAAGTTGTTGTTATTAAGACTTTTCTGGATGAAAAGGTCAGTTAAGATAGTCCGTCCTAAGTGCCTTATGCATCCTGATATATTAATATATGGGGGTGGGTGGGGTTTTCTACCAATATGGGAGGCAGTTGCACTGACGCTTGCAATGGGAAGATTAGGAGGATGCTTGAGATGATTGCTAACAAGTGATCTTCATGCTTGCAAGTTTCAGGATACTGTTTAGTTTTCTGAAACCAATGCCTGCTTGTTTTCAAAGGCAGAATTATGCTGAAGAAGTCTATGGGTTGGATCATCCTTGCTACTTTATAAAAATCAGGATAATAATAACGATCACAGGCTGTTTTTTTCATTGAAAGGACATCTGGCATGCATTGAGATAGCCTGTACAATATACCCCAAGAGTGTCCAGTCCCTTGATCTAACAGATAATATTCATTGTTTCTTATGACTTTTAGAAGAAAGGGGAAGACAATGGGACAATTAACGGTGAGATCAAAAAAATTACTGAACAGACTTGGAAAGAGCTACAAATTGTTCTTGGAGAGAGGTCACAAAGTTTTTGAGGTTACCTGACTAACTTTGCAGTTACACGGGGAGAATGCTATGGGGAAGTAGCTTCTATACAGTGTGTAATGACCTTTCCAATTATGGGGACCAGTTCTCATGTGAGCACTGTTTTTAGATGCTTAAAGGGTTACAAGTTTTAGTTGGCATGTGCTGGTTTAAGAATTAACATATTTCTTTGGGAGCTCATCACAGCTTTGTGCATCATATAACCTGCAGCCAATGGTTTTCAGTGGACATTAATTAGTTATATATTCTGCCTAATATTAGAATCATTTTGAAAAGCAGTTATTGGGGTGTGTTCTTCCAAGAATCATCCACTTGATCTCTGTGGATGCTGGACTAGATAGAATAGATCTTTGGTCTTTTCTAGCACAGTGATTTAAATGTATGCACTTTTATGTATGCACTTTCTGTTGATACAAATTGGCAATAGCAATAGCAACAACACTTAGACTTATATACCACTTTACAGTGCTTTACAGCAGTTCTAAGTGGTTTACAAAGTCAGCATATTGCCCCCAACAATTTGGGTCCTCATTTTACCCAACTCAGAAGGATGGAAGGCTGAGTCAACCTTATGCCTGGTCAGATTTGAACTGCCAAATTGCAGTCAGCTGGCAGTCAGCAGAAGTAGCCTGCAGTACTGCACTCTAACCATTGTGCCACCGTGGCTCAATCCTGGGATGATTAGTTAAAAATTTCAGTAAAGTGCTTGAACCTGGGGATACTGTACTTGAGCGTTTACAATATTGGAACAATTTTTCCCCAATTAATACTTGTGCATTGTACTTTCCGTATTTAGGCTGCTTGAATGGCTGCCAGATGTTCCAGAGGACATCAGGTGGATGAAAGAACAGACATGGAAAGTCTGTCATTATTTTATAAGAAAAGCCAAGAAAAAACTAGGAAGTCACCTTTCAGCCAGGTAGGATTGTTGCTTCTTATATTGCATTTCTGATGATACTGAAATGTGAGGCACAATACAATGTTTTTATATCACTAATGCCGTAACATTCTTGAATTGGGAGATTTTGCAATTGGATTTGCCCATGCTTCGAAAATAGTGCCTTTGGATTCTGTTCCAGGTTTGCATGATTAAGGGGTCATGTTTGTTTGCCTTGTTCTTAAAGCCAGAATCTGCTGGGGTGGAATGGAATATGAACCCAAGTAAGTATAATGAGCAAATAAAAAACAAACATAGTCCCCAATCAGAATAATTTTGAATATAGCTGTGTTTCTATCATCTCTACGGCAGGGGTGTCAAACTCACGTTGCAATGGCGTCGTCATGGTGGCTCATGGGCTGGGAGTTTGACAGGACTGCTCTATGGTCTCTATCATGGCACTCAAGCCTTGAATTGCCCTTTCTCTAAAGGCTGAGTGCTTTAAAAACCTCAGCCTATGTGCCTGTGATTATTTTTTTGTGGTATAGTTATTGCTGCTTTAATATTTAATGTATTGTTTATTTTTATTTTGTGCTATTGTTTAAGCTTGTGGATTTATGGATTTTAATTTCTCCTAATGGGCCAAGAAAACAGGACCAGAATAGCCAGAGGGTGTCAGTAGTGAGATCCTCAGGGACAAATATTCTGCTGCTCACTTCCATCTCTCTGCAACCTTAGCTCATCTGGCTGTTTTGTGTGTGTGTGTGTGTGTGATTGCATGATGCAAAGGGGCAATTTCAATGGGATGTATACTGTATCTTTCTGTCCTTCTTTCTCCTTCTCTATTGCACTTCCATTTTTATTTATGTGTCAACATTGGAAACCCAAACACGTTAAATAATATTTACCAAAATAGCATGGCAAACTTTAATTCTCCCTCTCTTTCTCTCTTAGGCTATACTATCATCTTGAACTCCGAAAAACACAGAGTTTACCTATCCCTTTGGGCACTGCTTATGGGGAAGCATTGCCAAAATGGCTCAGGAACAGTCTCTCGCTAACAGACGTTATGACAAAATGGGAAGAATACCAGCGTCAGCTGATGCTAGGGCTGTTCTGCATCAATGTGGACCTGCAGGCCTCCATCTTCCCCTCAGAAGGGCTGCAGATGAGGCATCCACCAGCAAGCTGCACGGAAGAGAGCCTTCAGCTCTTTTAATATAATTGTCCGAATCTGGTTGGGGAAAAGAGGGTGGGCGGTGGCTGCATTCAGCAGTTTCCTAATGAAACTCTTTAACAATCACAGGGGGATTTCTCCTCCCCTCACAATTCAGACAGGATACTGATAACAAAATAGGTAATTGTGCCATAACTAAGCAGGTGACTGGCACAAGGTAAATACCCACCAAAAGGTGTTGGGTGTTGCATATCTTCTGGGAGACAGTGGTATAAATAACTTGACAACTGCAACAGAAATGGTGGATGCTTGGGCGGAACTGAAAAGAATTTCATTCAGGGCGCCTCTTGAACTGTTTATAATAAGACGACTGGGGACATCATCGGGACTCTAGCTTTTGTTTTAATCCACTTTGCTTTGAATCAGTATTGCAACATGATTTTGTTCTTAAAGACTTGAGTCCTCTGGGATCATCCTTCTCTGTGTTATGATGCATTAAAAGAAAAGCCAGCAAGAGCTACCAAATTAGCTCTTAAACTAAATGCAGTCCTAAATTTTTACTTTAAATAGAGACACCTTATAATTCCTGTACTGTTTTCTTGTAAATTTGTCATATATAAGGAATGCAGCTAACCTTTATACTACCTGGATTCATGGCCTACTGCACAGGTGTCAAACTCGTGTTGTCACGATGTCATCACATGACATGTTGGGACTTCCCCCCCTTCGTTAAACCAGGTGGGGGTGGGGCCAGCATGTGACACATCCAGCCTGTGGGCCCTGAGTTTGACCCCCCCCCAGCCTATTGTCTTCTAGATCCTTCTATTCTCGAGAGATGAGAAAAAAATTAGAAGTCTTGAAATATGTACTTAAGTCACATCTCATTTGGATGCACTATTATTTCCCTGCTTCCCAGTAATTTTAACTAGCTTAAATCTTAACTTGTACAGTTGCAGAAGGATGTCAAGAAGGATAGATGGAAGCAACAGCTAAGTCAGTGTAATGTATGTTTTGAAATGGTTTGTGACTGACTGGATCAGCTGGCTATTTGAGAAAGAAGGAAAGGGCTTTTGATTCCAGTTGCAAAGGAATATGAAGCTCTTAAAATCCAGAAGCCAAAATATATTCTGATCTAAATGGATTTAAGTTGGTTTGTGGGATCCACATCATTGGTGTCAGTAGTGAATGTGGCCCCTTTGGAATGTTGTTGATTGCTCAGCAGAATTGTGGAAATTATTGTCTTGCACTGAGATGGAAATAAGCAGGGTCTGAAGTTGAAGGCCTGAAAGAAGGTAATAGTTTTGCAGTTATTGAATGTTACAGTATTGCATAAAGAGGAGGAATAGGGTTGGCTCGTAAGTCAGCTGAGCAAAATTGTTCCCCCACCCCACCCCTTCCAAGCACTTTTTTCTCAGATTATAGGAATTGATTGACTGGTTTGTCACCTGAGACTAATGTTGTGTGCTGAGAGTGACTATTCCAAAGTCATCCAGCTGGTTTTCATGCCTAAGGTGGGATTAAAATTCACAATCCCTGGCTTCTAGGCAGGTCCCTTTTCTCACAGCCCCATACCAACTATCTTGGGTCTATTGTTAATGATCACCAGCACCATATTTGACCATGGGTCCCCAAACTTGGCAACCTTAAGACTTGTGGACAAGTTGCCAAGATTGGAGACCTCTGCACTAGACCAAACTGGCTCTCTGCTGAATAAAATTGAATGTATATTTTATTTCAATCTTTTCATGCTAAACCAGTGGAGCTAGTTCCTTCAATTGCTGTGAAAAAAAAATGTTGGTAGGTTAATACAGAAGTATTTTCCCCTTCACACATAGCACAGGAAGCATCTCTGGTATATCCATTTATCCATTTTCCCCCAAGCCTTCTTTATGGCAGTTACCTATTGCCATTAAGCACTCTGGTTAATGCACAACCCTTTTTTCACAGCCCCATACCAACTATGTTGTGTCTATCATTAATGATCACCTGCACCATATTTGATCTCATCATTCACTGCTGTTGTCGTTTTCTTCCTACTACTGTATGTATAGCATGGCAAATATTCTGCATCAATGGCAGAAAGCAGAAGGTGTACTCATATAGCGATACTGGCACATTTTTAGTCACTGTGTATGAGGCTATATGCAGAGTGCTTGCTATGATTTTATATTATAGACTGAAGTGTTTGATGCTGCAGGAAAAAAAAGTTTGGGTATGTTTTTGGATAAAAAAGATTGGTTTTCTTTGCACTTTAACGACATTTGTTTTTCTCCTAGTACAGAACTATCTGTTAAATTCCATAGACAACACAATGGAAGGAAGGAGAGGGAGACATAATGATTGCTTAGAAATAAGTTAATAGTAATAGAATTTTAAATGCTATCAGAGAACAAAAAGGATAAACCTGAGTAGAAATGCTTTATTATATAGTGTATTTGTTCTCTTAGTAGACTGCAACAGACTACTAACTTTAAGTATTATGAGCAGTAAGTGGTTCTATATTAGCAAATATTAAAAATCAGCTGGGAATGAAGTGATTTTAAAAATAGGCTCATGGCCAGAAAAAAAAATCCTTTGCTGTCTACTCATTTGACACAAGGGCCTGTTTTGAATCTCTGCACCAGTATTTCCTTTTACACATCCCTGGGAGAAGTGGAGCTATGAAGAATGAATATTTGCAACAGGCAGGATGGGAGTAGCCATCAAGTTTGGCAATGAATAGTGGTTCTCCTATGCGTTAAATAAGTACTTAGGGTGGCAAGAGCACACTGTTTTATCTGCTAATATTTCCTTTAATGTAAGCAGCAGTAGCAAATTGCAAAACATTTCAGAGCCCTTTCACAGAATCCATTTCCTGGTCTGGAATTCACTATTGAATTTTGATAATTTATTCCATGTTACTATGTTTGGATAAGGAAGTACAGCAGCCATCAACTCTTAGTGCAGAGGAAGAGAAAGGATCCATTTCTCCACTAATATTAAAATGAAGAGGCTGGGTCAAGGTAGACTTCTTCTTCTTTTTTTTTTTGAGGAAGAAATGCTGTTTAAATTGCTTTGGATTGAGCTGTCACATATTCATGCCTTCCATATTTAATTACAAGTAGGATATAAAATAAATGAAGACAGGAGATATGCAAAATTGAAGTGTTTCCTCTAGAAGCAATGACTCTTAAGATAAAAGTTCTGAGAAGCAGATCTTTTATAAAACTCTGAGCAGCAGATCTTTTATAAAACTCTGCTGAGGAAGGAATCTTCCTCTTATCTTAACCTTAATAAGTTCCATAGGTATTGCATTACCTCAGCTTTCCCACATAAAATACAACAGTGCCTAGATACTTCCCTTGTTAAGCACACAATTGTCTGCTTATTCTGCAAAGTGGCCTCTGTTAAGAGGAAAATATTCTTGTATCATGAAATAGCTGGAAGAGTATGATTCTGCTATTGAATTCTAATAGGCACCAAAGCCTTACAACTATAATGTGAATGTCATTTGTTGTCTTTTAGATTAAAATGTGCCAGTGTTTGCATGTCTTTAACCACTAAGTTATTCAACACTGTATTCTATTTTGAAATGTATTGCACAATTATATAGTCTTTTTTTAAAAATAATAATTGTAAGCTGCTATTGCTGCTTCAAATGCAGCCATTGTAATGCTGGGATTCTCTTTGTTGCTAGTACACTGCGCTGTAATTTAGACAGCCCTCTTTTTAACTAACTTACCTGTGTGAAGATAATCAGGATTTTAAAAATAGTTGGTTTTATAAAACAAAATACAAAATGTTTAATTTTATATGTTAATGTTAAAAGGTCTGCTTATTCTGCAAAGTGGCCTCTGTTAAGAGGAAAATATTCAATGTTCAAATGTTAGTGCCAAAAACTGATATTGCAATATGTACTGGAATTTCACAACAAAAACATACACAGACATTTTCTTTTAATTCTAAAACTTAAAAGTGGTGTAAGCAATGCTCCCAACTGATTTTAATTCATAATAAAAAGAAAATAGAAGCTAGAGCCAACAAAGTATCCACAAGGTAAAGCCAACCAGCCCAGCTCTAATTTCTTTAATAATAGTAATAGTAATAACAACAACAATAATAATGACATCAGATTTGAAACTCTGGAACAAAAACGTAACAACTTATATCACCTTGTTTGACTTGGCAAATAGAAATTTGGTCAAGTTGAAAAGCAGCATTTGATTACATCAGAAGCTGATGAACGTTGCACAGTTTCAGATTCCACAGTGCCTTTTTTAAAGAAAGCCAAACAATTTATAGCTTGCTGCTATTATCTTTATGGGCATCTATAGTAGTCCTCAACTTATAACCACATTTGAGATCAGAATTTCTATTACTAACCATTGTGATTGTTAAGTGAATCGTGCCTAATTTAATGACCATTTTGTCTTGGTTGTTAAGTGAGTCACCTTAATCAGTAAGTGAATCATGCAGTCCTTAAAAAAAATCTGGCTTCCCCCATTGACTTTACTGGTTGGAAGCCAGTTGGGAAAGTCACAAACGATGATTACGTGATCCAAGGATGCCGCCATTGTCATAAGTACATGCTGGTTGCCAAGAGGCCCTATTTTGACCATGTAACCACGGGGATCCTGCAATGGGTGTAAGTGCAAGCATTAGTCATAAGTCTCTTTTTTTCAGTGCCACGGAAATCTCAAAAGTTCCTAAATGAATGATTGTAAGTTGAGGACAATCTGGATTCCTTTGCTATTCTCATTCTGACCAGCCTTCTTGGATTCTCTAATAGTTTGTAAGTTGTTGACACTACTAAGGCTGAGCTAATCATTGTGAGAAGCAATTGATTTGCCTTTCCCTGATGTTAAGCCATAGTAAATCCAACATGCCAAATAAAAAATCGCTTTGCAAAAAATGCCCTCTGTAAGAAAAAAGAAAATTCAACTTAAGAACTCAGTTGTATTTAGGGAGTGGGAGATGATCATGATCTGATGCTGTTGGTCAAATTGCAATAGCTCATTTTTAGCACTTGGAACTAAAATAAAGACCTGTATTATTTAGTAGCATTAGAAAAGCAATAAATACAATGAGGAAAACTAATCAAGCATTATAATAGTCATTATTGAGTTAATTTTCTTCATGTTTTGCATTATCCATGCCCTCAGTTCCTTCTATGTGTTTTACTGGAAATGTGCTATTTATTCTTTTAAAATGTATCTCTAATAAAATACTTTCTAAACTTATTGAACTGAAATGTGAGTTTGCTTTTATTCATGCTTTGTGTAGCCACAGTCAGCTGATACTTTCTGAAAATCAGGTATTTTTGATCCAGTTGGCAAGAGGCAAACCAGATGGATCCAAGATGCCTTCTTTGATCTGCAGTCCTGCACTATGCTCACAGTTGCCCTTGCTACACAGGCACCCATTAGGCCTTACAGCCACAGGTATCACTCAGTTCACTGGATTCCTCATCAAGTCACTATTGCCACGTTATTCCTAAGTTTACATTAGCCATGAAGATCAAATAGTGAATGCAGGAATTCCTCCTGACTGAAGCTGTGGATGATACTAAGCTGGCAGGAATAGCTAATATCCTAGATCAGGGGTGTCAAACTCAAGGCCTGGGGGCTGGATCCAGCCCGCGAGGTGCTTAGATCTGGCCCATGGGGCCACGCTGGAAACAGCAAAGGACTGGCCCCTAGTGTCTCTGCCAGTGAAAACGGAGCTTGGGAGGGCTATGTGAGACCCTCCCGAGCTCCATTTTTGCTGGCAGAAGGCTGCAGGAGGCCATCGCAGCTGCAAACGGAGCTCAGGAGACTGTTTTCACTGGTAGAGCACTCGGGTCACCATAGGAATCTCCAACATGAATGACGTCGAGCTGGCCACGTCCACCCTGGCCATGCACACCCTGGACCTGCAGTGTCAAACACAACCCTGGTGCAGCCCTCAATGAAATTGAGTTTGATACCCTTCCCTGGATGATAGGCTCAAGATCCAGATGGATCTTGACAGACATGAACACTGGACTCTAGCTAACAAAATGAAATTCAATGTACAGAAAAGTAAAGTCTTACATTTAGGCAAGAAAAACCAAAAGTACACATATAGGCTGGGTGAAACCAGGCTCAATAGCAGTAACTGAGAGGGATCTTGGAGTCTTAGTGGATAACCAGCTAAATATGAGCCAGCAGTGTGCGGTGGCAGCCAAAAAAGCCAATACAATCCTAAATTGCATTAATGGGGATACAATTAAGATCAAGTGAGGTACTAATACCATTCTATAAAGCCTTAGTAAGACCACATCTAGAATACTGCACCCAGTTTTGGTCACCACGCTATAAAAAAAGATGTTGAGACTCTAGAAAAAGTACAGAGAAGAGCAACCAGGAAGATTAGGGGACTGGAGACTAAAACATGAAGAACGGTTACAGGAACTGGGCATGGCTAGTCTAGTGAAGAGAAGGACCAGGGGAGACAGGATAGCAGTCTTCCAATATCTGAGGGGCTGCAACAGAGAGGAAGGGGTCAAGCTATTTTCCAAGGTACCTGAAGGCCAGACAAGGAATAATGGATGGAAAATGATCAAGGTGAGATTCAACCTAGAAATAAGGATAAATTTTCTGACAGAACAATCAACCAATGGAACAGATTGCCTTCAGAAGTTGTGGGAGCTTCATCACTGGAGGCTTTCAAGAAGAGATTGGACTACCATTTGTCAGAAATGGTGTAGGTTCTACTGCTTGGGTTGGGGGTTGGACTAGATGACCTACAAGGTTCCTTTCAACTATTAATCTGAGGTATTTTATTGCTAGACTTTTCCAATCTGAGAAGTGACGGGTGATAAGCTAGAGTAGGTGTGTATTTGGGCTTCAGCTTCAGATACCTTGGCCACCTAATGAGAAGACAGTGGCAATACTTAGGGCAATGCAAGTTGGTGCTTATCTAAGAAACATGACCAGGTTTGCTCTGTCATTGGTAGGAAGCAAATTTGAGTAAGGGGCAAATATAGAGAAAATTTTTAAAAGGCAATTCCTGGGATTAAAGAACAGAGCCCAGGTAGGAAGTCTGGAGGCTGCAAAGCCGATTCTCTTGCTTTCAGTCACTATTTCATATGTCTACAAGCTGGCCTTCTTCAGCGTTAAAGCCTTTTCCCACCAGTAACTAATCATACAATCATGCTGTGTCCCTATAACTTAACCTTCATGTCTCGTGTTTAAGACGTCTTAAATTCTCCCATCAAGATCCACGGGGTAGGAGGAATAAGACCGACAAAAGCAGCGTCATTATGCAAGCCCCATCCTTTTGTATGTGCATTGTGATGTTTGTTGTCTGGATGCTCCAAAGGCGTGGAATTTGCAGCATTCTAAATTGCCACTTTCCTCATTCTGACAAAAGCAATAGGATCCTGCTGAATTGTCTTAGCTGTATCAGTGTTAGAAGTGTTTCTGCTTTCATTACATAAAAATGAAGATCAGTGAGTGGCTGGGCTCAAAGGCATATAATATTTCCTAACTGTTTCAAACTAAGATGGGCACACCTTTCTAAGCCCATCTTCATCATTCTGCAGTTATTTCCATTAGGAGCTAGTTACAATATCACCAGCCAGCTAATCTACCCCAAGTAAGTAACAGGGCTAGGCTGCTATTCAGCCATCAGTACTAGCTCTTCTCGGTTAATTTCAGTCTAAATAGCAAAGTAGTAGAATGGAATCACAGGCAATAGTAGTAGAATGGAGCAACAGGGAGAAGGGTGACAAGGTGACGACACAACTGTAAAGCAATGGGACCCACCCCTTTCATGGCCTTGCAAACAGAATGTGGTGGGCTCTGAAAGATGTTACTTATTGCCTATTTACAGAAAGGTAAGTTGTGGTTAATTAATACAACCTAGTACCAGTAGCAAAGATTTTAGAGGACGACAACATCTTTCTAGACTTTGGGGCTTTTAGAATATCTTTATGAACCTATACTATTATTAATATTAGTGAATAAGGCACTGAATGGTGGATTTAATTTTCCTGTAGTAAATGGAAGATGACTGCATGTGCATTGGGTGGGAACAGGTAAAGGGCAAGTGACACATATATGATGACAATCCCACACATGCTGCAACTGACATACTTGTGTTATACATTCTGAAACTAGTGCATAATTGTGGCTGTGGAAGCCAGGAAAGTCCCCCACCCCTGCTTTAATCCCGCAGAGTGTAAGATCAAAGACAATTGGAGACACATAGTCACCATCAATATACAGGAAAAGGTGCTGAGACTCAAGACTCTACCGTAGAGATGTGACAGTAGTGCAAAAAAAAAAAAAATGCTTCTTATCACTCGTGTATCATTTTGCCAGCTGAAGGCTTGCAGCCTTTGTGAAACATGTCTCCAAATCACAAGGCTTTACAAATAGAGGGTCAGAGTGGCTCCGAGATTTCCAAGGCTTTGGAAAAGCAAGAGTTTCTCAGGGTTATGGGTCTAGAAAGCCCGGGGAAGCAGCAGGTTAAATAATTACTCCTCTACCCTCTGGCTTCAACCTGATTGATCTCATTTTGGGGACCCACATCCCCACATAATAGGGAGCTCTTCCTATGTATGGGCCCTTTGTCCCTCAGGAGGCACCTGGATCCATTTATCCAGCTCACTCCTTTGCCTGCATCACACTTCTGTCCTTCCACCTCTTCAGAATCCCAAAGGTGCTTTTTCAGGAGGCAACTGGACTTTCTTGTTTTTTTTTTCCCTTGGAAGACTTTTCACTTCTCATCCAAGAAGCTTCTTCAGCTCTGACTGGATGGTGGGGGAATGGAAGGATTTATATCCCTTGCAGACAGCTGGTCATTTGCATCCTTTTGGAGAATTGTTGAGGACAGCCATATCCTGGGGACAAACATGACCCGGGATGACTGAGACCCACCATAGATTTTAGCTATACGTTTTGGAATGAACATCCTTGGAATGGTGTGGGAGTATGAATGGATTTCCAGAAAAATTGCAGACTACAGGAACCATTTGCACTATTAGATGACTTGGGAGGATACAGACAAACCTCCAAGACTTCAACGACCTTCTAAAAGGATGCAAATGACCAGCTGTCTGGAAGGAATATAAATCCTTCCATTCCCCCATCATCCAGTCAGAGCTGAAGAAGCTTCTTGGATGAGAAGGGAAAGAAAAAAAAAATCCAGAAAGTCCAGTTGCCTCCTGAAAAAGTACTTGTGGGACAATCATAATCTGGATGACTGAGAACCTCCACAGGCTTCCACCCGGCAACTGGGAGCCAAGGCAACCAGAGATGGGTATTCAGCAGGTTCTGACCAGTTCTGGAGAACCGGTAGCGGAAATTTTGAGTAGTTTGGAGAATCGGCAAATCCCACCTCTGACTGGAAATTTTACAGTCTCCTTCCCCTGCCACGGCCACTAAGCCACGCCCACAGAAGCGGTAGTAAAAAAAATCTGAATCCCACCACGGAAGGCAACCCGGTGGAAGGTTCCCCCTGCCTGGCAGCGAGCCAGGCTCCGTGGCCACCTCAAGAGGAGGCGTCGCTGAAAGCGCGGCCTCTTCCTCCTCCCCCTACTTTCCGGGCACCTGCGAGGTGGCGTTTCTAGGGCTGGAAACTTAGAGCGCGTGAGGAAAGTATAAGCGCGGAGTTTCCCTTTGCTGACCTTTTAGAGCGGCGAGTTTGGCGTTCTTGTCAATTCCGGCTTGCCAATAAAGCCTCTTTTCCGCGCTTTCCCCGCTTGGGTTGTTTGGACGGCTGGTTGAGTTTCTCTTCCAAGCTGTTCCTTCGGCTTGGAAAGAAGAGCTCGGGCTGTCCGAGAGGTTTTGCCGGTCTTTTCGTCTGCGCGTAAACCACGGACCGAGGGCTTGTCCCTTCCGCGGCTGACAACGTAACTCGGACACACGCGCATTCCTTTAAACCGGGAGTAGCGCAAGTGCTCTAGTCTAAGCGTTTCCCAGACGCGGGTTTGCTGCACCTGACCTCCCTTTCCTCCCTTCCTCTCTCTTCCCAACGAGGTAGGTGGAAAGGGACGCTGTAGGAAGAGCGGCGGGAGATATAACCTGGTGGGCGTTTGCTCTCTTACTCCTAGCCAAATGGAGTAAAAGAGTCCCGGGCTTCTTAAGAACGGGCGCGTTTGGGGGCGAATCTCGGAAAGGAAAGCAAACTGAACTCGAAGCCTACTGCAATCACTTAGTGGGTGGTTTTCCTGCGTAGAGCAATGGATTTTAGGCTAACTTTCCTCAACTGTC